GTGAGCTCACACCAATCTGCAGAGGCTTTATTAAGTGTGTTGAGAGATAAGATGAGTCTGTGCAGATGCTATGGGTGTTTTTTTCTTTTTTCAATGAGCCGGGCCTTTGGGAGACTTCTGTAAATGGGCCGTGCGCATGCAACACTTCCCCACTCTGTTGACCGCCGTGTAGCCAGTCCCCAGCGGCGGTCAGCGGGGAGGGGTCTGCTCACGGGATGGGCCGGACACATCAGCCCATCACAGCAGATGGCCGCCCACCCTGAGCCATGGTTCTGCTCGAGGTTTCTGCCCGTTAAAAGGAAGTTTTTCCTTGCCTGTGTCGCCTAGTGCTTGCTCACGGTGGGAATTGTTGGGTTTCTGTAATTATCTTCAGAGTAGGGTCTGACCTGCTCTGTTTGGAAAGCGCTGTGAGACAACTGTTGTTGTGATGTGGCGCTATATAAATAAAATTGAATTGAATTGAAAAAAATTGAATCACGGAGAGAAAAACACCACCGAAACCGCTTTATCTGCTCACATGCACAGCTACAGCGTAGTGGGGATCCAGAGTTCCCGGATACAACCCGTCCAACATGGAAACTCCACACAGAATGGCCCCCTGCTGGGACCCACACAGTCCACTGAAAATAAATGATCAATTCAGTTTGCAGTCCATGCAAAAGGATTAGCAAATATACTCTGCACAACGGACTAACAGCATGTATTTTGAGGACCACTTTGCATGTTCTGACCCCCAACTATTCTTCTCTCACCCCCCTCTACCCCACTAATTTACCCAATGCTACGTTCAACATTTTCTAGTCTGTCGTTGGACATTCAATATTTTATTTTATTATTTATTATTATCTATTTGATTTTATTCTATATTTGTATTTCTACATTGTATGTCCTTTCTTGTTTCTCATAGAAGTGTTGTGCACCAAACACCAAAGCAAATTCCTTGTAGGTGAAAAACCTACTTTGGAACAAACTTAATTCTGATTCTGATTCTGATTTACGATCACGCGAAAGAATCCTCTCCGAAGAATTCCCGATAAAAAAGGTTTATTGGAAGAAAAGGAGGGAATGATCAGGGGGGCTGTGGTATTTTCCGGAGTGACTCATTTTAATGCAGTGAGGCCTGAGGCAGGACGCAGAAGCACAATCCACTCCCACTAGGGGACAGGAATGACAAACATCCTGCTAGACGGTGGAGGAGAAACTCCATCCATCACGTCTGCTCTGTTATCAAACCCACCTCTCCTCCTTTTGGTCCCTCCATCCCACTCACACACTCACACACTCACAAAGCTGTTGTTGCAAATATTTTCCCCTCTGCATCGCTCCCCACACAGCAGTTTTATCCTTTTCCACTTCCTTGTTGATAATGAATGAAAGGTCTACTGTTGGTTTGTGTCTTTGCAGGGCATCAATTATTCAGCGGGTGTTTATGTTGTGTAGGAAATGAGATTTAGAGTGCATCAACAAGTCTTGTACGTGTGTCAAGCTGCCCGGAGGATGTGAAGAGAGAGAGTTACACAAAGGCTGGGGGCCTCCTATAACCTTCTGTTCACAGCGAAAAAAGACGATCTGCTAGATCCCGTGTCGGAGTTTTGAGTTTTTGTTTAACTTAGTCGGCTTTTATTAAAGCTGCACAGAAAACGGATCAGGATTTCTCATCGTTTTCATCATTTTCGGATCATGAATAAGACATGTTTTCATGATCCCCGGGGATACAGCCTGGTTTTCAGATCCGGATTAGTTCAAAATAATTTTACAATGGTGTGATATAACGGTCATTTGGAAGGTGAAGCTCAAATGAATCAGAAAGTAACTGATATCATTATCTGAAACCCAGCAGCATAAAGCTGGAAGGGGAATCAGAAGCCACCAATCAGGCTCCTCCTCACTTCCTCCCGTTTGCTGTGCCGTTCAGAAACTCATTTGTCTTTTGAGATAAGGGTGAGTCTGTGGCAGCTAGTCTTATTTTTGGAAATCTGCCTTGGCTCCCACTGATCACATGAATACTTCACTGTTATTTTCATATTCATGACTGCAGGTAGTCTTTCTTTTTTACTTCCTTCTTGGTATTTTTTCTTCTGCATGCCCTTTGGGTTGCACTTCAAAGAGTTATATTACTTATAGTTATATTGCCATCACAGTGTAATACACAAGTCCTTCACAAGAGCCTTGTTAAATCTCCCATGAGTGCCCTGGAGAGTCTGATAGATTGAAACTTTTGAAAAGGTATTCTTATCCAGCTCTCATTCTTTTCTTTGCAACACAGCAAATCATCTTTTGCCAGCAAATATTGTGAACAATCCGATTCACACTGTGCTGAACTAAATTAAATAATTTTCCACTAAATGGAAATCAACCTTCATACTATGTCACAAAGTAAAATTACCCAACTAACTTTTAATCTTACCAAACACCCATTTATGTTTGAGTTAATATTTTGGATCCTTTTACTGTACCTTAGGACACTTTTCACCTTTCCTTCCCATATCTACTTGTCCTACTGGGATCTTAATGTTGCGACCAAACCATCATCTTTACTAGTTTCAACTACTTTTTCCAATTTTGACTTATTTCTAGGTACATTGTCCTCTTCTACCAGCAGGCAGCAGGGGCACTGACTCCTCACTTCTGGGATCATTGATTATATATCCAGAATGTTGCTACAGTTCTGACCAGAACCAGGAAATACGACCACATCAGTCCAGGTCTCAGGACTCTCCACTGGCTTCCTGTCACTCAGAGAATAGACTTTAAAACAGATCTGCTTGTGTACAAGTCTCCTCATGGGCAAGCACCAAAATACCTTTCTGACATGTTAGAGCCATATGAACCAGCTCGGACTTTGAGAACCTCAGGTTTCCGGTCTCCTGATGGCGCCCAGAGTCAGAACTAAACAAGGTGAAGCTTCATTTTCAGTTCCATGCTCCTAAAATCTGGAACAGTCTTCCTGAAGATGTGAGACAGGCTTCAACTCTGACAATATTTAAATCCGGTCTGAAAACGCTTCTGTTTAACTGTGCGTATGAAAATTGAATGTATTTTGTCTGCACCCTTCACTTTTCATCCGTCTAATTTTTATTATATTTCTTTTCTTGTTTTTCTGCTTTTAAATTCTCTGTTAAGCACTTTGAATTGTCTTGTACACGAAATGTGCTTTACAAATAAACTTGCCTTGCTTTGCCTTGCCTATATCTGTAGGAAGTGGACAAAGCGTCTCCCCTCTCCACTAGTGAGATCTGATTGGTCTCCTTCAGTAGGTCTCTTGATCCTTGCTGCAACTGTGGGGTTTGAGTCTGTTTCTTGAAGCTGCTTCTGTGTGCGGTCAGCACCTGGTGGAGAGAGGGAGTGTCATTGTCCAGAATACTCTGCAGTTTCCACAGCATCCACCACCAAAGAGTCCAGCTGGACCCCCCAGGACATGTTAGCCTTCCTGATGAGTGTCTGCTGCCCTCAGCCTGCTGCCCCAGCACACCACACCAAAGAAGATGGAGCTCGCTGCCACCCACTGGTGGAACATCCTCATGATGGCACACAGGCTGAATGAAACTGAGAAACTGAGAACTGGAACTGAGAAACTAAGAAAACACACCCTTTGGGAGCCTTTGGGGCCGTCAGGGTGAATCCTCTGCCAAGAAACGTACGTCACACAGTCTGTGTGTTTTCCCCCAGTGGCTAGCTGTCGTTTCGGGCCCTGTGTGTGTGTGTGCGTGAGGCAGAGGAGCAACAACCTAACTGCAAACAGAAAACCTGAAGCTGCCCCCTAGCATGTTTCTTGCAATCCATGCGGAATATGGCCAATTGAAAGGAGAAGAGAAAACCTCCATGAATCAGATCAAGTAATAATTCAGACTGACGTCTCTATAAATGCTATTCATTATATCTCAGGGGTGTGTATTTGGTCATGAATCTCAATAGAAATAAAATATTTTTAACTGAAATGTAGAAAATCCTTCTATTATCTACTCTGAAAAATACTAACAATAAGACAAACACTATAAAGTCTGGTTTCTCTGAGCGCACCGTGACTGGCTCTGGCCGGACTGATCTTATTTTCTGTGACTGGACTGATAACGTGGCCGTTCTAATAATAGCACCGTGATCACAGTCACACTCCTCATCGCATGTCCCCCTCTCCTACCCTGACTGTGAGGCGAGGACCACAGCACTGCCCTCCATTGGTCCAACAGCAGAGCGCAGCACAGGACAGTGTTTCATTTCAGATGATTTTATTGTTCATTTTTTCTCATTTCTACAAAGAAATCATCTTAAATTAAGTCTGACAAGGTGAAGATTCCACACGCATAGCCCACTGTGCATTTCTTTAGAATAACCCTAGTGTATAGATTGTGGAATAAACAGTGTGTTTCTATCCTGAAGCTACAGCACACACACCTTATGTTTGACAACTTTTCAAGTGGGTTCCAGGTCCATTTCGGGTCTCAAAGACCGAGTCTGTCTCTGCAAGTCCAGTTCAGGCTGAGAGCAAAAAAACAAAAATTGGAGCCAGCTCTCCACTCTGCAGGATGAGTCACCGGCCTGAACCAGGAGGGTCTCCGAAAGGGAGGGGTCACCAAAAAAATAGGCTGAATCATACAGACACAGTAAAAAAGGATAACTCATATTAACAAACAGCCCAGTTTATTTCCACTAACTAACGCTGAGCTTCATACACTACGTCCACTACGTGTAAGTTAGGACACATTTTGGGGAACTTGACCACATGTGGCCCGGTGAGGAGTGGTCCAAATCAAACTGTGTCCGTGCAAAAGGAGGACTGCAATCATCCAAAACGCAACCTTCAAAGATATTATGTGCGCGTAATCCTCGAAGTATGCTCTGCACGCAAAGTTCCACTTAACAGTTCTTTACTTTTTTTCAAAATGTAATTCATGGAAACCTGCAGCTCGTGTTAATTTGCTGAGCACGGCGGATTCAGCAGCTGGTGACCGTCCACTTTGGGCCTTTTTTTAGGATACGACACGCGACAGTTATCTGCGAGCTCAGCCCGAATCGTCCCCGCTGGCTTCCGACCCTCCCTTCGGGTTCTCCCCTGACCCCTCCACCTCTCCGCTGTCCGATTCCTCTTCGATGGTGTTGCGCGTGTCGGCGGATGAGCACAGGGAGCTGACGCTGCTCTGCTCCGCGCACAGCGCGCACGCCAGCGGAGAAGACAGGGATCCCTCAGGGTATAGATGCCGAAACTGCCTGCCGTGGTCCCCGCAGAAGGGCAGGGACACCTGCACGGAGCTTAGCCCCGAGACGGCCGCGGGGAAAGTCGGGCTGTGCTTTTTGGGCAGCGCGCCCCACTCCCGCTGCTCCTCCTCGTGCACCAGGCGCGTGAAGATGTTGGTCCGCCTTTTCTCCCTCCTCTTGGAGCGAAAGTAGCTCAGCATGATGCCGCAGAGGAACACTCCGTAGAAAGACATGACGATGAGGATGTAGAGATACGCGTTCCCGTCGCTTTTGTCCGCCGGGGAGTGCGCGCCGCCGGGCGTTTGCACCAGGAGAAGTTTTGGTGATGCCGTGGAGTTCTCCTGTTCCATTTTTTTCCTGGAACCTTAACGAGCGACCTAGAGAATGCACAGAAAATGATTAATAAACATAACTCTTAAGCAGTTGCTTTATTTGTCTAATTACGTGCGTTTTACGCACAAAGTTGTATTTTTAGGAAGTGGGTCAGTAAGACATAAAAAAGGAATAGAACAGGCATGGTTAAATTGAGTTTTTTTTTTTTTTTTATAGAAAAAGGTTATCAAAAGTTTAGACAGATTAATTTAAGACTAATCATCAGCCTGAACTCGTTAACTCACCAAACAGAAGTCCCGCGTCTCGTGTAAACTTCCGAGTCTATGCAGCGCTCCTTGAGTTTGGTGAAACATTTTCAAGGGGGATGTTATTTATACAGGGACCCTGGAGGATCATCATGAGTCACGTGATATGGGACTGGTTGTAAGATGAGCCTTATGACTATTGAAACCCTGAAGAGATATTATGATTTTCAAAAGTGAAATAAAGAGAGCATCAGCATAACGCACATCTCTGGGGGATTCATGAGAAATCATGATGTACTCCTCTGTCTTAGTAACTCTCTGAAGAAGAATAACATCATCTTTCCAGAGTGATGGAAAAACACTTTTGTCACAAGCAGGACAGCTGTTCTGAAACACAGGAAATGAACACATAATTCTGTCTTCTCTCCACTCACACATGTCATCCTCGTACCTGTTCAGTTCAATTCTCAGTTCAACTCAATTAAATTTCAATGTTATCTCAAGGCACTTCAAAGTCCAATTCAAGCTAATTGTAATTCCTTCAGTGTAATGATCCAATCAATTTCAGTTAATTAAAATCCAAATTACAATAACAATATTATCATATGTAATCATTTCAACAAAAAGTTTTAGAAATATATTTCTTAGCTAAGGTAACAGGACTTTTTTTTGGCTCAGAACAATAATGAAGAAATCCAGCATTCCAAAACCGTAGGAATGGAAGCGCTTTTTAATCACTCTGAGACCAGATGATCCTCATTTTAGATATTATGAAGGTATTAGGTCTGTGTGGGTTCTGTCCTGGTTCTCCGGCTTCCTCCCAGCGTCCAAAAACCTGCATGTTAGGTTGATTGGACATTCCAAATGTCCCTTAGTAGTGAGTCTGAGTGTGTGTGGTTGTTGGTCCTTGTGTGTCTCTGTGTGGCCCTGGGATGGACTGGTGGACGATCCAGGGTGACCCCGCCTCTGGCCCATTGACTAATAATACTATTGACTACTACTAAACATGATACAATTTATCATTAATATGTGATCCTTGGGAATCTAATGCTATTTTGGGTTTATTTATCCGTAAAAAATGGAATCGAACTGGCAGAAAAAATCAATTTCCAATTAATTCAGTAAATCTGAGATCAATTTCTCCAGACACACATTAAGTTGTCAACTTAGCTTTAATGTAACTGAAAAAGGTTCCAGGGATTTATCAGAATTATTGCATCAGTGTGGGCCGAAAAGTATCAGATCCACACTCAGCTCGGAAATAAAACACTCTCATATCTAAGACATTATCTTTATTCACTTCATTTGAGTTTTTTTTACATTTTTTTTTACAAATAAATAGTTGGATGTTAAGGGACTGTCTAAACACGAGAGAGTTAACATCAATCAAACGTCTCTGCCATTACAGCTCTACATACAGACACGGACAATGAATCATTCCAATCGTGAATCATTCAGAAACGACAAAGGCATGTACCGGAATCACACAGAAGGCAGCAGGTGTCATTCTTTGGGGCTGTGTTGGTTAAGTCTTACACACACCGTCGTAAAGCTGACTTGAACATGTGGCCAGGCTTTAGCCAGGAGAAATGTTACACACATTCACACTCACACAGGTGTCCACACACACACACACACTCCACCGGTTCGCCCACACGGCCGAGCTTCATTTAAGGCTTTTTCTCTAATCTGCTGCCTGACTTGGGCACAAAAGAGGCCATTATCGTATTGCACTTTGATTTATCATCATTACATAGTAATTCCATCGGTTAAACAAAGACTTTTGTGCTCGCTGTGTCCTATAAACTTACAAAAGTCTACCCCGACACCACAGGAAAACCCAGTAGACTAAACAAGTGTTGTTTCTTCTCGTTTTAAATAACCCCAGAGGGGCTATTTAAAAAATAAAAGTCATTTTTCTTAATTGAACCTGAATGACAAATATAAATAATCCAACCTAAGAAGAGCCTCGTATTTAATGAATATGCTCTAATTTGACCTCAAGTGACTCAAGTGCTTTTGGAAGTGCTGTTTGGAGGCCTCCCATAAGTCCCACTCAGACAGTGGGTCAAAAAAACAAAAAAAACATCGAACAAACAGATAAACCTTTCCTGACCTGCAGGAAAGCAAAGGGAGGATGGGGAACATGCTTAAGATCGAAAAGATAAAGCTCAGAGCATTAGAAAGAGTGGATTCTGAGGCTTACTGAATCTCCACCTGTGGTGATGGGGCTGAGCACAAATAAATGAGGCATCAAAGCGACCTGAGTTTCTGCTGTGGCGATCAGACGAGAGTTCAACATCGGCTAAGACCTGCTCGGTTTCATAACTCACATCTGGAAAAAATAAAAGGGCTAAAACATTGGTCAAACACCTGGAAGTCAGATCTTTTCTTTTCTCCCTAAGTAACTCCAAACCAATCAAAGTAGAAAACTGCTTCCACGGTGAAACCTGTTAATCTTTCTTTAAGATCATAGGAACATTAAGATTTAGTTCACCCTGGCTCTACTGCTGGGGGGGTTGATGGGGGTAGTGTGAGCACAGAATTCTGTTTTTTTTCTGAATAAGCCATGCTGTGCTTGTCATTTTCCGCCGTACATCCGCTCTATATCCTCCTTATAATGGGTTTTCAGCTCCTTGCGTTTGAGCTTGAAGGCGTCCGTCACCAATCCCGTCTCGGGGGTCCACGGATCCGGGCTCAGGCGGATCTTACGGGGGATCTCGAAGCGTTCCAGTTGGGCTGAAACAGAAGGAGACCGGGTTGAGAGAGAGAGAGCCCCAACGGCCAGGTTTTGCAGCTACTCGGCCTCTTTGAGCTCCGCCCACCTATCAGTGCGGCCTCAGTGATGACCTTAAGGACCAGCTCCTCCATGGCCTGGCTGTTGCACAGCTCCTCCCACGAGCCCCGCACGCCGTACTGGCCGGCCAGGGCCAGCAGCTGCTTCTGATTGGGCACCACGAAGCCGATGACGTAAGTCTCGTCGCTGCGGAACAGGAGGCGAGAGAGAAGAGGCAGCCGGTCACGAAAGAAGCTATCTATCGAGTTAAAAATCTGTCCCCATCGGCTGAACACGGGTCCCAATAAGGTGATGGAGCTCAGACGTGAGCGTGCAGTTCTCCACAGGGTGGAATTCCCACCCGAATAAGGAGATGGAATCAACACAGACCAGAAAAGAGCGTGAACAGGCTCAAACCTCTAAATCTTACACCCAGAACCGCCTAAACATCCAAGTCGTAAACATCTGACAGAGTGAGCATCAGTGCTGATTGGGGGGGGTTTAGAAACAAGTGTTCCAAGGAAAACCAAAACCTAAACTGAACAAACGAATTAAATAATACCGGAGAAACACAGACTTGACTCTGAAAAGCAGAAAAGGGACGAGGAGTAGTAAAACATGGAGGCAAATGATGTGTGTGACAAAAACGGCTATATAGACAAGGAAAGATGGCCACAGGAAAACGGTGGAAATGATGGATGATGAGCAGAAAGTATTAAGAAACAACAGGAAACAAAGTAAGAACATAGAAGCGAGAGAAGACAAACTAAGAAAGATCCTAAACTCAGGAAAGGACAGGACCAGAAACCCCCAAAACTGCAATGATAACTAAAAAAAATAGGAAACCACACACAAAGGAAAGGTCCACTAAAATCAAAAAAGAATGAACCAGATGTTGCTCTATAACCTGGTTCAGACTTTCAGCTTTTGTGGATTCAGATTCCGGTCTGAGAGCCGAACGGTTTCCTCCTTTGTCCATTTTATAACTGAGTTCTGGCCCAGAGAAGATCGCGGTCCATGCTCTCTCCTCTGCGTGACAAAGTTCTGGAAGTTTTCCTGAGACAAGATCAGGCCTGTTTTTTAAAACAGAGCTGCCTGAGGGCCTGAAGGTCCCTCAGAGCTCCAGGACCAGCAGAAACCACTGTTGACATCATGTATCTCAAAATATGTTAACAATATCTTTTAAAAGGTTCCAAGCACAGGGAAAGAATGAGGTAAGCTCTATGGCCGAGGAAGTGTTGAGAGCAGGGGTTTAAATGGGACTATGACTTGTTTGTTGTTATTTTACTTCGGCATTAATGCTTTACCCACTCGGACCAGCTAACCACACAAGATGGGACAGAACCAAAATAGGATCAGTACCAACTCTTGGCCGAAAAGTGTTTTCCCATTACTTTGGTTTGTGGTGCTCTGAGCCCTCAACCGTTCACTGTCCAAACTCCCATTGGCCAGCAGTTCAAAACAGAGGTCAGAAGACTAAAACAAGAACAAGCTGACGCAGGAAGTTGATCCGATACATGATTTAATAGATGCTGAATCTGTAGCGTTAGCCAGCGCAGCACACACCTGTTAGCGTAGATGCAGATGTTGTCAACCAGGGCACAGTTCTTCATCACGGCCTCCACCTTCCCCGGGGAGACGTACTCTCCGGCCTGCAGCTTCACCAAGTCTTTCTTACGATCTGGAAGCAGAGCACGTGGCACAACGCATGCAACTTCAGTGGGAATGTGTGCTTAGCAAGTTCAGAAGGAAGGAGGAGGGTGGGAGCATGTGGGGGAGCTCTACTTGTCTGATCAGATCTAGTAGGAATAATTCTAGGAAGTGAAGTCAGTTGTGATTCCTTGAACGCTAATGGCTATTCACATGACCCACACCTCCCGTCCCACGCCTCCTCACCGATGATCCTGAGGCATCCGTCTTTGTGGAACTCTCCGATGTCTCCCGTACAGAACCACCGCTGGCCGTTCTCGTCCACGAAGAAGTCTTCTTGGTTCTTCGCCTCGCTCTTGTAGTATCCCATGGTTATGTTGGGTCCACCGATGACGATCTCCCCTCTGGGACGAGGCTTATCGGTGCTCCGGTATTCACCTACGAAGGGGCTGACAGTCAGTCTGACTAATGCACAAGCTGCTATAAAACTATACTTCTACCGTACAAACCAAGGAATAAACTTTATTGGACTCGAGATTAAACAGAGAACAATTAGAAGGAGTTTTAAGGGGTATGCTTTCCCCTTCGAGGTTATGGAGAGGACACAGGGATCCCTCCTGGAGGGAAATGTTGAGGGAAGTGCTGGCTGGATTGTGACCTCGTGAGCCTGTTGGGGGAGCGAGGCCATCTGGAGAATTTGCGGGGCACGAGGCTTAATGGTGATGTGTGTGATGGAGCTCCTCACCCTCCACCCAGTCTCGGAGTTTGATCTCACAGCAAACAAGAGGTCCTCCCACTCTCCCGGTGCTGTAATCCCATACTGGAACAGAAAAATGGACACGCACTGTCAGAGAGCCCACCGCCATCACTGACCTCATCCCGGAGGAGCGGTCAAACCGAGGCTCCTATGACCACAGCAAATGTACTGCCCGACAAAGGCAAGGCCTTTAGCCACGTGCTCCTTGACGCTCAATAAGAAAAGATATTCAAGATTCCAAGAAGCAGCAAAAAAAGCTACTGTTGATTTTTCCAAACTAGATCATGGACGGTCTTATCTGTTTCCTGTGACCCCCACGCAGTAGATCCTCTAATGTTCCCCTCCCATTTATTTCCCCATTGTAGCTGAAACATGACCCCTTCCCCCTGTGTTCTCCAACTCTTTGTCATCCCCCTCAGTCTGTGGGCATTTCACCATGTTAGCATCTTTCCACAATTGCTCAATAGCATTCGGCAATTTGTAAATAATGAATGACTCATTTTGAACAATGGGACTGTTTTGTAGCTGTTTTCTGTTCATAATATGTCCTCTCATGATGAGTCATCCCACAGAAACATGACCAAAAGCTTCAGGCCCTGCGGCAGACATCATTAGAAGGAAGGGTTTTTTATCTATTCTGCTCAGGGCCTGAGCTCTATAAACAGTTCGTCAATAAATTGAATAACGCTTATTTAGAGAATCATACTATTTAGTTTATCTTATTTCAAATCTAAAAGAACAGAAAGATCTGTGGTCTGTTTTGTTTGCATGTCCGTGCACATCAAAAGCTCTCTTTGTTTGGAGCAACGTAATATGTTTGGTTGTAAATAAAAAGGACTAAGAGGTAAGCCAGGACATTTAAACTCCATGCATGACAGTGAATGAACCCACTACTCTTTATAGTTTATGCCTTCAGGGGTAGAGGATTGATTATCTAACCTGGAACGCTTCAGTTCTGAGGCAGCTGGTCACTTTTTTATTATACGCGTAGAACATTAACAAAGATTAAAGCAGCATCAGTTAACAATGGACAGATTTAAATATGTGACGCAGACTTTCCCATAAAACCCTCATAAATCCTGTACATCCTAACATCACTGCTCACCAGGAGGCCAGAGCAGAAGTGAGGAACAATTGACCAACATTTGTGCTTATTTTCTATATTTGCGACAATCTAGATCGATCTAGATAGTGTACGACTGTTTGACTGGGGTTCCCTCTTACGCTCGCAGATGGTCCCGGCGCCGCAGGTTTCGGTCAGGCCGTAGCCCTGACCCACCGGGCAGCAGAAGCACACGTTCATGAAGCGCTGCGTGGCCGCAGATAGGGGGGCTCCTCCGGACAGCAATACGCGCGTCCGGCCTCCGAGCAGGGAGCGAACCTTCCGGAACACCAGCCTGGTTCGGAAGAAGAGGGGGACTTAAAGAGGGAGCTTCTATATCCCCATCACCGAGCCGAACTGTTAAAAAAGTCCTTAACTGTAACATCTGAGCTGCATACCTGTCGCACAGTGGGGTGCTGTACCCTTTGGCCAGCTGCTCCAGTTTGTAGTTGTAGGCCAGGATGAAAAGGGTTCTTTGGATGGGGCTCATCTCTTCCACCTTGGTCATCACATTCTTATAGATACGGTCCATGATCTCCTGCATTCAGAAGGGGGGGGAACGTGTGGGACAGAATGCAGAAAACGGATGAGATGAGGGAGCTCCTCAACTCCCTCTGCCAATGGAGGTGAAACTGAGTTAGCGGGTCAAAACACAAATGCCAATGCCTGAAAGAGGAGATCTGGAACCACAACTCGGGTTTTTTAGCGCATGTCTGCCTCTTCGGAAATCTAGCTGAGACAGAAATGGGACATGATGGATCCTTTGTGTCGTCTCTGGAGGTTCGAAACACAGATTCAAAACATTGTGTGACATATCTACGACTTCTAAAGAAGCTGCTCTCCGTTAAATAGAGGAAAGGGCACAAAAAGCAGCTGGTCCCGGTGGGCGTACGTGTGTGTGTGTGTGTGTGTGTGAGGCTGAGAGAGGAAGTGGACACAGGACTCACTCAGCAGTCTGTGGCTGTATCACAGCAAACAGTTTGGATGCGTGTGTGTGTGTGTGTGTGTGCGTGTGTGTGTGTGTGTGTGTCATGGGGAGAGCCACATGGGGCTTTCTCACGTTCTGTTTACAGCTGTGAATGGTTCCAGAGACTGAGGCCCTCTGCCCTTTCCACCGCTGCTGGGATCTTTGGGGGGGGGGCGTCCTCGGGATATATGGGAGAGCGGACAGTACAGCAGCTAAGACGGATACTACTCATTGTTTAAATCAGTGCGGTTTTGGTGTGTATACTGAACCTGAATTTAAAGTGGGGATAAGATTTAACATAAAATATTATTTTATGAGGCTGATAGAATGTTTGGGCTATGTCAGAACATTCAAGATGCATTGTGTTTGATATTTTCTTCTTCGGAAGTAAAAAAGAAAAACTAAAGACAGAATCATGGACCAAACTTGCTAAAAGAATAGCTGTTTGAATTATTGTGCAATTAACAAACTCGCTAACTATCCAGTAAATGATCACAAACAACAATGATAAAAAAACATTACTGATCAAAAAGCCTTATCTATTATCTGGATTTCCTTAAAAAAAAAACTAGAATATTCTTCAATAAACAGGATCCACCATTCTCCTTGTTTAGCTGACAGCTAACCCAACCTGACTCGGTTTGTCCTCTTTAACCCGCTTTGGATAAAGAGGAGCGTAACCCCTCTTAGAGAGTTGGAAATGTTAGTGTGAGTGGGAGCTATCAACGTACGGGAACAGCTGCCATCAGGGTAGGCTGCAGGACGTTGGTGTCTCCTTTGCTTCCTTTCTTGATCTTGGTTGACTTTTGGGGGGAAAAAAAGACACATACAGACTCTGTTAGCATTATGACTCCCATGTTGAGTGAGTTTCTATTGACCCTTAAAGAAGAATTTAACAGTTAAACCTGGCCTCTTTTTCACCACCACACCACCTGACCGCCCTCTGCTAACAACGAGCTAAGCTAAATCAGACTCGTTTAGACCTCGAACTATTCCTCCAGACTGCATTCCTCCTTGGACTTGCTTCACCGCCCACTGTAATTAATGAACTGGTCCCCCCCCCTTCTTTTTGACTCAGTCTGCGCTTGGGATCCACCTTGTGAGCAGTGGTTACGTCCAGCCAAACAAACAGACCCAGCGGACATTTTGAATCATCCTCATCCCTTCAAGGTGTCGCGCTAGGGAAACGGGGGGAGGGGAGGGTTGGGGGGGCGCCGCGCCCTCTGGGTGTGTGCGACAGGGACACCCGGCAACATAAAAAAGCGTTGGACCTAATCAGGAAGTTTTCATGACTACCCCACTGCTTGACAATGTGTTTCTATCTGAGGTCCCGGGAAACCGGCCTCTCCATCTGCACCTCGTTCACCAAAGCAGGGCGCCGATGGCTGGACACAGCTGCCCCTCATCACTTCTGTGGAGTGGCTTCTTCTGAGCTCCTTTACCGGGATTTGCGTATGTGATTTTTTATTTGTGTTTTGTGTTTTTTTTTTGTTTTGTTTTTACCTGGTCCGAGAGAGTTTGAGGTGAGGAATAACCGATCCTGCAACCATGAGAAATGCACACCAGCTCTGCGCTCAGCTCCAGCACGTGGGCTAGAGGTAGGTATCCGATGTAGGTGTCCTCCTCACTGGAAACAAAGCCAGGAAAAGACAGCTCAGAGATGGTCTGGGTCTCTCCTCTTCACCGGGTATGGTGGCATACATAGTTTGCACCGAACAAAAATGATCATTTTGTTCTTAATCGTATACCAAAGCATTTATGCACCCCATAATACACCTCATAGAGAGACTGTAACATGACTAATCTGTTTCCTTGTCAGCCTGACTCCCTCCAGATTATCTACGGTGGAGGATAACAACAGATAGCATTGTGTACATTCGAAATGTTTCAGCTGTACATGTAGACAAGGGGTTTACAGTTTTCTTTCCCGGAAAGCCATCGGTTTCATGAGAAGTCTAAAAGAGATTATATCAGCTGTGAACCTTCTAAATCTACATCCATCTCAATCGGACTTCCGTCCTCCCAGATTTTAATTCCAGTCATACACGGCTCCCCCTTCAGCGTGTTTCCTTCCAAGCTGTCTCGATCCTAAGAGGGGAGGATCATCTGATGTATTTATGGGAAACAGTTTATAAGGATAATGGAGGCCTCCTTTTAAATAAGCAGTTGAGAATCGCTTACGTGGTAAATGGGCCTTATCTAGCGCTTTTCCAGTAAAACTGAACCATCTGAAGTGTGATACGTCATTCACCCACTCACACACACACACACACACACACACACACACACACACACAGTCCAGTTGATGCACCAGTAGGCAACTTGGGGTTCACCGATGTGTGTAAAGGAACTTTGAGTGCTCTATATTTAAAAAAAGTTACATAGGTACATTCCAATTCCCCCTTAAAATGCTACTAGCTCACGTTACAGACCAGTGTGTGCGTATAAAGTCATCTAACACATGGCAGGTAGCAACTCGTGTGTCAAAACTGAAGCGAGTTGGATTACAGGATTCCCTAAAACTGTGTAAAAATGTGTAAAAAGTCTTTTTTCACGAGTTATGGCCGCTGCCGTTACCACAGGTTGGGTATCCTCTCAGCCATCCCCGTGATGCTTGCGATGATGTTGCTATGGGAGATCATGACCCCCTTGGGGTTGCCTGTGGAGCCACTGGTGTACATGATGACTGCGATATCTGAGGGCAGCGGCTGCTGTCGCTCGGGGGTGGCTGCGATGTGAACAGAAAAAAAAAAACACACCAACGTTTCACCGGGGGGACAGGGACAGGTCTGAACAGAGAAATTGTCTCCGCTTCACTTTTTTAAAAATCAATGGATAAGTGATCGGTCTCATTCTGAGGACCCTCTGAGGAGTCATCGTCTAAACAAAAAGTGGTGTGAGTTTTAAAGCTGGCACATTGTTCTTCCATCTCCAAAAATCAGACACAAGATCAAGTAAATAACAGATAAAGGGCCTTCTTATCTGTCCTCTTAATAGAAGTTAAACTGTGTGCTCTGAGGCCTGATGTCTCTTTGTTTCTATACAAAACCACAAAGTTGACAAAGGGAGGAGGGGGCTCTCCCCCATGCATCCGCAAACAGACCATTAATCTGACCCAGATGACGGAACCTCCTAATTCACATGACCTGACAGACTCCTACTAATCTACCCCAGCCCCCTGTCCATAAGACACCTCCCTCTGACATGCACTTCTAGAGCAGGAATTTTCTTTTCTTCTCTATTTTCTTTGATAGATTACACAAAAAAAACAGGGGATTTCCAAGGCTGCACAGCAAATTATGAATAACCAGGATAAACTTCACCAACATGCGTGCTTAAGAAAAAGAACCGGAGCTGCACATAACAGCCACTCACAGTCAGGGTCAAATATTTTGGACCTCCCAGTCATTTCCAGATAATAATTATCAAAACTGACACTTCCTTTCACTTATCCATGGAACATTCTCTAGAACTTTTGCTGTGCTCAGGTGAAAATGATTAGTCAGGTCCTAACAGAAACAAGGAATCGCATTGTTCTGGTTAAAATGTTGAGAAAACGCTATACATAAATAAAGAAACAAATAAGTATGCACACATTAGCAATCGTCCAACTCACCATTCTCGTGCCTGGCACCCAGCTTCTGGACAGCGGCCATGTTGTGGATGCTGACGCCGCTTGGATAACCTGGCCATGTGGTGGGTGCGCTGTCAACCACAATGATATGCTGCAACTTGGGAACTTGAGCGAAGATAGCCTGGCCCACACACACACGCAAACACACACACACAGACACACAACAAGACATAAGTGAATCCCTCCACCACTCCTCCTCCTCAGTCAGCATCATTCGAATGATGCCTTATTGTTGTGATTATGGGATGATTTCAACGATGTGCGACTTATGGTCTCACAGACGTGACTAATACCGCCCCTGACCGCATTCTGAAAAAATCCCGCAGGAGATAAAGAAAACGTGACGCAAGTGTGGAAACCCTAAAGTGGGATTACCGCATTTTGCGATAAAAAGCTGATTTATAATTGATTTCAATTCATTTTAATGTGCATAAGTTCTGACAATAAGCCGGAGGGGTGGAACCTTTGAGTCCCTCTGGTTTACTGGGGTCAGGCTACAGATGAGCACGCCCAGAAATGCAAAACACCTGTCTTCACCTCCTCTCTTTCACCTGCTGAAACATAGTGGTAGAGTGGACATTAATCACAAACACCTACAGTGTTCAGTTACATGAAGGTTTGAGGAGTTTTATATACGTAATCGGCCTGTTTTTATAATTCTAACTTCTCACTAAAGCCAAGGAAAAGCAAAGGAGTTAACCATTTAACCCTAAACACAATACCTGACACTCCCAAGATATCAAATATGCCGATTCTTATCTTATCGTTCTGAGTACAGCCAGAGATATTCTGGATCAGCACCATGAAGCACAGCTGTGGCTGTTTTTCTGGAAAAAGTCTGAGACGTCACTGTGTGTGTCTATGTTGTACGTGTGGAAAATTCTTTAATCATTAATGATATAACATTGTCCAGACAAGGAGAGGAGGCTGAAACGCAGACAAAAGGAGCTATGTGAGGCTGCGAAAGGCAATGAATAACATGTTGTCAAAGAACGAACAGCCCGGCCCAAATGCATATCGTATATTCTTTTTTTTTGTAATGTGTTTATGTAAGTCTTTGGTGTTTAAGAATATGTCTAACAAGTTTACACACACAGCCGGTGACTTATTCCAGAATTCTCTGTTACAGCAACTAAAAGCTATTCTTTCTACAACGATATTTAGCATTGTAGAGGTGACCTCATTACATGTTAATACAATTATGTGAAGCAGTATGATACTGGGTGTAATGAATGTGTATTGAATGAATGTGAATGAATGAATTGAGTGTCCATTCGAAGGTATGATCAGGGAGAACTATGCTTTGTTTAAGAGTGAACTTACAAATTGACTTTTAAAGCACTAAACTAGATGTTGTGATGTACATTATGCACATTTAACTGGATTAAAAAGACATGTGTGTTGTGCAAGCTGTCATATGTTTCATAATAAAATTAAATCTGGGAGAGAAACACCTGTCTTTGTATGTGTTCTGTCATTGTTAGAGCAGGTTCTGACCTTTAGTCTGGTCTCCAGGAGTTCTCTGCTGGTGATTATGTGGGTGACCTGGGCCTCGTTCAGCCCGTGGGCTATGGCTGGACCGCCCAGAGTAGAGTAAAGGGTGACCACTGGAACATAAAAGTGAAAACAAATCAGCATTCCTCCTATACCTGTTAAGACTCACTTAAAATGAGTCTGCAGAGAAATCCGGGACAATGTACGTGCGCTCTGTCAACACGTTCCACTGGCTTGGACTCGGCTTCCCACACACTGGTGACATCTTCGGCCCCCTCCAGAGGCCTGAGCTCAGCCACTGGGCTGAGGACCACAGCGCAGTGTTTAGCTGTGGAATGTGAGGCGGTGCGCTGTTATGACTAAGTACAAATGTATGACAGAGGACTGGAATTTCATTTGGAGGGGTCTTAAAGGTTAGCGTTCTGTCATCGCAGCAACAGATAACTTACTGAACTGCTAACATTTTAGGAAAGTTTGTGGATGTCCGAATGTGAATATCTCATAAACATTTTTGTAACGAACATAAGACTTTGTAAAACTTCATAAGCCTACAGTCTTTCCTTTTCTGTGGTGCTGGATTGGGTCCTGTTGGAAAAAAAGGTCCATCTGGGAGCCTGCCTGGTGAGCCAGGGGTGGTATCCTGGATGGAGAGGGAAAATGGATCCCTACTGGTGGATTTATCAAAGGCTTAAATTCTTTGGGGAAATCGTGGATGCTATATACTCCAAACTCAGGAGAGGGACTATAGACCACATTATGTGTCAGAGCCTGAGTGACTTCCAACTTTATTTCTAAAATGCATTAAAATAACAAATGTGGACCAAAGTGCTGTGCATAAAAATGAAAATTAAACACAGGATGGAATATCATAGCATTTTAAAGATACAAAATAGATATACAACTAAAATCAGTATCCACTTATACCCTAAAGTTTGTGATGGGTGGCTTAATGAACTGAGCCAAAGAGCCCAGATCTACAAGGGGGTACCACTAGTTTCACTAAAACCATCGCCTTGCCTTTGTTCATTAAAATAGCAAACGTTTAGAGTCATCCAAGCCTGTGTGCCAGTAGTGGTTTGACGGAAAAAGTGTCTGACTGTATTCTGTATTACAGTGGAAGGGGATACCATGCTGTCTACGTGTGGAATCAAGTGGCAGCAGGTAGAGAGAAAGAAGTGAAGAGGGCCTAAAACTGAGCCCTGGAGGACCCCACATGAGTCCCAAAGGCTGACACAGAACACAGCACAGAACCACCACAGTGCTACACTGGCCTACCTGCAATCCAGTTTCAAATAAAGCGAAGGACGGTGTTATGAAAACCCTTTTCCTGAGACATCTATATCTGTCATTGTATCTATCTATGTTTATGTGACTGTATCTGGTTGTCAAAAATGAGGGAAACTAGTTTCAGGTCAGTAGAAATGAAAAAATAAAGTAATGAGAAAGGAAGAGGAGTGATAATGAATGCAAAGGAAGGTGTGGGGCAGAGCTAATAGCTGAGAGTGGAACAGAGGGAGCCTGCATCCCTCCTCTGACACAGACACAGAGGGTTTATGGGACAGAGCTCTGTGACGTCTCGCTGTTGCGTCACGGAGCTCCCAAACTTCCTGCCCCACGCCTGTGTGTCTGTATGTGTGTGCGTACGAAGGCCATGACACCTCCAGCCGTGAGATATAAACACCACGTTGGGCCCCAGCCCTAATGTATATTGCTCACAATCACACAACAGCCACTAAAAGCCTTTTCAGCACAGGGGAATTCAGCAGACGTCCCAGCTTCTGCTGAATTCTGAATCTCAAAGAATTTGCGCTCGCTTAGTCCTTCCTAAACTCCAAGCGGCTACTTTAAATGACTTTACAGAGAACACTGTTGCATGTGGCCTGTTCTGCAGCTGAGAGAGCTAGAGATGTGTGGCTTTCCACATCAGGACCATGTTCGGTGGACATACAACGCACACGGCACAGACGCCGAGTCGGAGATCTCTGGGGGTTTTTGGCTGACTGCTCCATGACTCTGTCAACATCAGATGCTCACGTGGACTCTGGGCTCTCCCCTGCCTTCTCTTTTGTCCTTTGCTCTGTTTTAGACCTCCACCACCACAGTGTGCTGTCCTTAGCCCCTGGCATTTCAAGTTTCCCAGAGTTTGTGTCTGTAGGAAGGAAGATGCTTTGGGGGGGTAGGGGATGTGTTATGGCCTATGCTTCTGACATATTTTAAAAGCATGACAGTTTAAAGGAGACCAAACCACAGCTCATGGCAAATGAAAGGGACTTTATGGAAATAACAATACGACTTGCTTGTAATAAACTAAAAGGTTCTGTTGGTACAGAACATATTAAAGAGTAGGTCAGTGTCGAATGACTCAGTTCAGAAACCCCCCTGTGTTTCTTATTCAGAAACTCTATAACCAAACTCCAATAATATTGTTCCGGTGTTATATTATTCATTTCACCTGACACAATGTCAATGACTTAGATCCATTTCCCGTAATAAAAGAATCTTGCTTGTCCAAAGGAAAAACACTGTACACTGTGACAATGTGCAGTTGAAGAATCCAATGTTTGCTTCACCAGAGCATGGGGAAAAAGGCCGAGCAGACACAGTGTGAAGAGGGGAAATGGGACGCTTATGCAACAGTGGAGCAGAAGGGGACAGACTGACCTTCTTCTGTCTCAGCAGGGCCCTGCCTGTGAAAAGTTGGTCAGTGCAGCCACTGACGTGCACACACACATGAACAGAAATACTAGTAAATCTGTCAGGGGGGAGAGCAAACAGAAAGAAACAGAGAAATAGGAAATCCCTCCCACATCTTGTTGAATATAACCTTGAGGAGAAGGCCAGTGCAAAATCAGAACTTCAGTTTGTCTAATATGTTGGTGAGATTTCTATTCCATTCAGTAATATTTACAAAAGATCAATCAAAGACACGTTTGGTTTCCGAAAGGTTTGAAATGCTTCATTCCCCTAAATCAGTTTGTCTATACACCACTGGAATCAACTTGGCCTCTGGTTTATTGCTGTGTATGTAGATGGTTGGACAAGGTAAGGTTCACAGCAAGTGAGAGACACATTGTGAGCAGAAAAAATTTGGATCTGGAAAAAGTTATGCAAAGTGGATGTCCTGGGTTAAGGTGGATAGGTACACTTGCCCTTCTTCTGAGTGGATGGGTTAGAAGCAATCACAGTTTGCTGGACGCAGCCCTGACTTCTCCAGTTACCACTGGTACCATGATGCCTTCAAGGCCCACATCTTTTCGGCTTCCTCATTTAGACCTTGCTTTTCTCAGATTAATTATGTTCCTTCTTTAATTTGCTGTCTTTTGGAATCTAACCCTAACCCTTCCAATGTAGTGTTGCGCTCCATAGGGTCTCAGCTGTCACTCTCCACCTTTTGGAGGTATTCTGGACCACTCTGGTGGTCCTGGACTTACCTGGGTAGTTGTACGTGAAGCAGGCCAGTGCTGTTATTAACCACTCCGCTCGCGTCTCACAGAAGATGGCAATGTTGTTTTTTGGCCGCTGCCCCAAGTACGACAAACCACTTCCCAGCTGAGTTGCTGCAGTGAGGGCTTCTTTGTAAGTGAGCCAGTGGTATTCACCAAGAATTACCTGCAGGAGATAGAAGAGGATAGCAAGACGGGATTAAGCAGAGTATGGCTCTCTGTCAGTGAAGGAAAGCAATTCATATACAGATAGATAGATAGATAGATAGATAGATAGATAGATAGATAGATAGATATAACTTGCTGCACCGTCTGTGAACTCTACTGAATTGATATGAAAGGCAGCAGCTGCCTGCGTCCATCTGGGGGGTTCTACTGGCTCCTATTGGTTCATAAATGCTAGTACACCCAAACAGAGGCACACAATGCATTGAGTCATCTGTACTGTCTTAGCATAAATACTAGGATATTTAGTGCCGCAACAATAGGTGTTTCAACAGTGGGGTTTAGATGGATTAGCAGAATCAGGCTAACAGGATTTGAGCGGTAATTCGGGGGGGAATAGCTGCATGTCCACCTCATGAGTTTGCAAGTTCTTTATATAACCGGAAAAAACAAATCTTTTGTCTGCTTTGTCATGTATTTGCATTTCTCGCTTGTAGCTGTGAACATCATACAAAAGAACAACAGCCTGTCAGCCTTAACTCTATTTCAGTATCGTAGTTTCCAGCGCAGCTACTGTTGGATATGGCTGTTTTAGAATCTTTGACAACATATGGAGAACAATAGGATGAAACTATCCTTCATTACACTCAACCTTAAAACGCAGAACGCAGAGAGTTATTTTCACATGAGCCAGCATCTTGAAATCCTTCTAAATGAACAAAAAAAACACATTTATTACAACTGCAGAGTTTATCTGTTGATCTTGGCATGTCGTCATGTGTCGGCAGAGACGGTTTTGGTGCCTAGACTCACTCAAGGCAAGGGCACCTAATAGTGTGGTGTGGTTACACTTCAAACTGTGGAGATTGTAATTAGCACGGTAAAACGACCTCAAAAAAAGAACTCTGAATGTGGTGGCACAGTGGTTTGGTGTTTAGCAAGAGCAATCCAGTTTTGAGTCCCCGGGGGAACCAGGACCTTTCTGTGTGGAGTCTGCATGTCTGTCTGTGTGGGTTCTCTCCGGGTTCTCCTGCTTCCTCCCACCGTCCAAAAACCTGAGTGTTAGGTTGATTGGACATTCCAAATTGCCCATTCGGAGTGAGTGTGTGTGAGCCTGTGATGGGCTGGTGACCTGTTCAGGGTGTACCCCGCCTCTTGTCCATAGCCCATAGCCTAGCATCAGTCAAAAGTTTCCACATTTTCTGTGGAATAACATCAATATGTTTGTCTGTTGTTGTTTTCAAGTCTTTAAAATCTCTTTTTGAACAACATCCCAGTTGTTTTATTGTAATCTAGATATGGGGATTTTCAACTAGTACGTACTCAGCTCTGATTGGCTTCATATGAGGGCTGGCAGATAATAACAGTTCCAATTTTAGCACCTACTCAGCCGGGGTTTCAAGCAGGCTGAGTGGGGCTGGCAGCATGGTGCCAGGCACCCTTTGGCCAGGGAGACACATAAACCCTGCCCATTTTTAGCAATGCAGCCACGTCAAACGTCCCAATTTCAACATTTCTACTGTTAATATCTTCTAGATTAACCAACACAGTGGCCTGCTTGTGACGCATATCAATCATGTTGGCCTGTTCTTCCTGTTAGGGGCTCAGTCTTAATAGAAAATCCACCCAAACCGAGATATGACGTGGCGAGTAGAAGCCGAGTAGGCAGAAATGGAAAACCTCCAATAGGCTACTAAACTCGTGTGTTTTCCACCATCTTGCACAACAAAAATTCTTCAAAGCTCTGTCTATAGCAACGAATAACTGGCTGCAGAGGTGGAACAATGCCTTTTTAGAAGCAACTACAGTATGAATTCAGTTTCTCTCAAGGTGTACCTTGAAAACGGTATGTACCATTTTTAGGATGTTTTGTCCTAAATATGATGTCTTTCAATCATCTCCATTGGATTACTTTTGTGGTAACAGACTGTTGCTTCCAAGGGTTAGGGTTAGGGTTAGGGTTAGGGTCACACTGTACCTTTTTGAACACCTTTCCATTACTCTGTCGCTCATCTTCCTCACTGATCACCATCCGTGTTCCGACACACTCTCTGTGGGGAAACCTCATCGCAGCATACTGAAACATCTTATCCAAGGTGTCCACTCCAGGGTGCAGTGACGTAACAAGCCTTTTGGTGGCGCTCACTGCTCTGTAGGGTCCCTCTGGATATCCCAGCACCGAGTACGCCTTCACCCTCTTGGCTCGTTCCTCCTCTGAGCCGTAGAATCCTTCGCCAGGTGTGGAGACCCAGCTGAGAAGGTACGAAGGCAGGAAGGTGATAGCGGTGTAGATCCACACCATGAGGTGGAAGACAAACAGCAGCATGGGGTTCAGGTCCTCTTTCAGCTTCATTCTGAGGATTATGTGAGAGGCGGATGCGATACGGTGGGGGAGCAAGGCTCCAGTCGTGCTGTCTGAGCCGCTTCCTCTTTGTCTGTTATCCTTTATTTACTTTGAATTATCTGAATTTATTCTCTGTCCATTTAAGGGCCACTCATCCGCAGTACACCTAGGAAATAAACAGTTAGCATGGCATTAGAGGAACAAGTAACAAAACAGTTTTTCAAACTAGCAAAACAGTTTTCAAAAACAGTTTGAAAAACTAGTAGCCACTGGTTCATTCAGAACCAGTGACATGTAGTGCTGTGCTCTCACTAGGTTTCATGTTTCTCTGCACACACATCACACCACAACATGAACGTGGTCCATTTATACACAATCATAGTAACAAAAAACTTGAATTGTTTAAAATTTCTTGATTGGACTCAAAGAACTTGTTGAGGTCTGAAGCAATGCCCCGTCTGTTGTTGTGGTACAACTTTGTAATCCCTCAGTACAGACCCAAGGCCTCAGATTTGGAAGAGCTGAGCGTCATCCTGACCCCTTCACGCTCCGCTGCAAACCATTCAAGTGCACACTGCAAGTCTGAAGAAGCAACCAGAACCTTATGATCTATAAAAGGCAGAACTTTGCCCCTGATGTTCCCAAACCGGCCACCCTCTTCTCTATGACTATACCTTGAGATCCTGTCCATGAAAATAAAAAATTAGGCAGATCCCCCTGTGGTTGGAGCAGATTCTCTGGTGCCCCTGTATATGGAGCCGGTCTGCAACTCCACATGCTTCACGCTGCTGACAGCATAACCCGTAGGGCGAGCGTGTGACAGACATTTGAAACCACACTGCCTTCATACAGGAGTGTGTCTGTGACGGTGCTAACCACCACAGCACGAACACAAACGGCTAGTCTCAGTGCAGCTGCTCAATGGACGGTTTTATGCAACTAGCGGGAGCTGGATTAATTGAATAACGCCGTGGCGTGGTCTGCGTTGTGGTGGGGTGAGCGGCGTGTGAGGGAATGGCTGCTTCCTGAAGGGCCTCTGTGAATGGGCTCTTGTATGCTAACACCCACTAAGCTGGGGAAGTCTCGCAGAAACCTCAACGTGAGCATTGTGGAGAGGACACAGCGACACACGGCTCGGTCCCAAAAGGTCGGACTGTGTCTGGGTTTGTGCGAACCGGCGAGTTGGTGCGTGAAAAAGCGGGACTGCTGTGCGTGGTCGTGTGTGTGTCTGTGTGTCTGTGTGCAGGAGGGATTTTCAAACAGTGACATAATCTAAGCTTGCAAAACAACAGAGGCATTTTAATTGTGATTTTATTCCGGGAGAAAATACAAAACTCAATTGTTTGGATGACGTGTTTAAGGCTCCAACTTTATCCTGCATTTGTGAACACATAGGGACGCAACTAGTAGGGGGGGGGCATGCCCAAGCTGCCACCAAGCTGTCTGCTGAGGGCCGGAAAAGCTTCTAAGATGGATCTGGACTACAACAAGCCAACAACAAACAGCAACGGTGTCATATGAATACCGTGAAAACACACAAATGCTCATATCTGTATATGACGGGGTCCCTCCCCACTCCCAGGCCTAAAAAAAAAAAAGACAGCGGAGGCAAGTTGGAGTGTGTCTGTGTCTGTCTAACCACATCAGAGCGTTTTCAAAAGAAATCAGTGTCTCGGTCTGTTGGTACAGAACCCCCCCCCCCCCCCCTTTCATGTGATGCCTGTTGCCAGGGGGGGCCTGACCGGCACAGCTGTTTAAATATCTGCAAAGTGAGGACTGCTCGGGCTTCATCTGTAAAAGCAGCAGATCCGTGGAGGAGGGAGGGAGGGGGGGGCCTTCGATCCAACTGGTGTCACCGGAATTTTGCTTTCACTTCAGATCCTGGTCAGACAGGTTTCTGGAATTAAAGGGCTAAGGCGCGAGCCCCATGTGGATGAGAGCTCAGCTGACTGACCTGTTGGGGGTGTGAGTCACTGCCTGGCCGCGGGGGACTGACGACACGCGCACGGCCAGCCGCGTAATGAAGATGTCATCACAACAAATAGGGGGCCACAGATGTTCCAGCTGCAGCAGCTATACCAGCACCTCCAGTCCACAAACTAAAAGAATAAATCGAATTAGCTCGTGCGATCGCAGCTCTTGGAGCTGGTTGGAGTTTTAAAGCTGTGCGCGTTAATGATTCGTCTTCATTTAATTTATTAGGTCCTGATGAGGAAAGTGCGTCTGCACAATATTAGACGCACAGAAGCCGCGGAGAGAGATTTTGTCCCCGTGTCCGTGCGTGGACGGCAGCATCCCCCCACGATGCGTGACCAACTCACCGTGTGCGTGTCCTCTCCTCTGCGCTCCGCTCCTCTGCGCGCTCTCTGCGCTCCGTGCGCCGCCGCGCAGCTGTCCAAGCTGATGCCGGAGCCCGGAAGTGGCACGCGCGCCAGCTCGCTGCATGCGCGTACGCGGATGAGGGAGTCGCGAGAATAAAAAAAAAAAAAAAAAAAAAAAGAAGGGGAGGAGAACTGCGATGTGATTGGACGGGTGGAGGTGGCGCGTGCTGGGGCCGGATGAAGGAGGTCTCGAGGTGACTCCGCGGGTTACTGGCGGTCACGGGGGGATGGAGAGGCCACGCGCGCCACATCCTCCAGCTTCCAGGCTTTGGACCAGATCGGGAAGGGTCCTTCAGAGGATCTGTTAGGGCCATGTCTGCTTTTGTGGGATACTTTCTGTTGGTTATATAATAGTAATATCTGAGAGTTCCTCATAACCACATTGTGTCTGACTTCCCTTGAGTCAGCTGAGGATTCAGAGTGACATTCAGATGGAGGCTGTAAAGGGTCTTCAGAGTCCTGAAGATCTGTGCAGCACTGTTTGGGGTTCCACTGCATGTCTGCAGCCTCGGCCCAAATCAGGAGAAAGATCCCCTAAAGATTTTCCATCTAACCGTCCTCTGTGTTGTCCCAACTGTTCCTGACTCGCCTAAAGAAACAAAGAAACCAAGACTGTGGAGGGAATTAAAAATAAATTTAATCTTCACTGGTTACTTTGTTACAAACCACCAAAGCCCCCCGAAAGAGCATAAACTAAAAAATGTTCTCTCTTGTCTTTTAGATTTCTTTTGAACTAAAATGATGGAGGAATGTGACCTGGCTGTACAGACACAGGCTATGTTTGAAAAGATCGGATACATTTCCGATTTAGGACCACATATCTGTTAGAATTTGGTTATAATTACTAACTTTAGCATAGTATGCTATAACATAATCTATGTTAATCACTGATCATCTTTTCAGAACTTTACTTTTTGTTAAAGTCTCTGGCTGTGACCACAGACTCTCCTTTTCTCTCTTTTCTTTCTTTGTTCCACCCCTTGAAGTCAACACAAACACACACCATTTGTTACCACATTCCAGTGTTATCTACATGAATTAGGACCTGGCCTGTTTATGACCAGAGGTAACTCGCCAATAGGACTTGGTTGTGTCCAGTCCTCATTTGAAGACGTGGACCGAGCCAAGGAGATAATGCCCATCACACCCAGATCTCAGGGCTCTTTGCCGACTGAGACCCAGAGAGAGGTTTTGTCTGTGAAGACCCCAAGGCTGATATACTTTGCCCGTGACCCAATAAATGTACATTTTTTATTCTTGATCTGCTCTGGTTTATTCTCAGGTTTCCAACTAAAGAATCGGGTTAACATATCCAAGCTGCCTGGGTTCACATGGGTTCACTGTTAGGAAAAGATCGCATTAGGGGGGAAAAAAGCTGGATTTGGGTCACTTTCTGAGCACAGAAGGGAGGGGTTGCCTGCTCTTAGAGGCTGAGCTTAGAGGAAGGGAAACTTCATTACCCAGAATACCCTGCTCTGTCCACACAGGGATAAAACTTTTTCTTTCCCCAAAGGGTTCTCCGATTGGCACTGAAGCGCATCAGCACCTGTAAACCGCGTCTTCTCTCTATGTGATCGGAGGATGCACCAAAGTCATCTCAAAGTACTTTCAACGCATCTTTTTTGCATAGAATTATTTTTAAAAAACTTTGTTCTTATTGATAATTCCAATCCACCTCACAGGCCCTTTTACAGACAACATTGAGCAGCAGTCATTGAGCAGATCAACACTCTGTTCTGGTTATTCCTTTGACCTTTTTAAAAAAAAAATTCTTTCAATAGTCCTCAGCTTTCATTTTGCTCTAATGCATTTATGCCTGACATTGAAACTGCTGCTCTGCACGTTGCAATTCTGGCTACTAAAATAAAAAAATTTGAAGTGTTGTACCCATTGTTCTTATGAATCATCTTCATCTTATTTTTTAAATCTCTCACATTTTGTCGTGTTGAATTTTAATTTGATCTTCAGCTAATTGTTGCTATTTTTTCCACATTCTTGAGCATCCTCTGGGGCGTTCAGCAGTTGGCCTTCTCACAGCTGTTTGGCAGGAGGAGCTTTTTCTAGTTTCTTTTAAAAATATTATCCAACATGTGGAGGACAAAGCACCACAAGGCAAGTCTAAAAGGAGCAGGGAAGAGAGAGGGAGAGATAGGACTTTTTCATGTCAACATATGAACATAGAAACAGATAAAAACAAAAATATTAATTCCGAGCGAATTTCAGTGAGGCACCGCTCTGGACAGCTACAGCCGGCAGCTGGGGTCCTTTCTCTCCGAGCTGTGAAGGATTAGCAGCTAACATGCCGACTGTCGGAATAAAGAGGGACCTTCTCTTTAAAGCTTTGGGGAAAGCTTACAGTAAGACATTTTACTATCATTTTGAGTCCCGAAACTACTACTATTTATTCAACATAACGTGTGTAGGTTTTTTTTAAAAACGTAAGACAGTGACAGTTTTATTTCGACTCACTGGCTGACAGCGACCATTAACTCTGTGCTAACTTCAACAATTTGACATGTTTTATGACGACTTTTATGAATGAAATGTGCAATGTCTGAGGATTCTTTCTACCAAAATATACTTTGATATCCTTTGAGTTCCCACAGTGTTGGTGGAAATAAGGCTGTAATGTGCTGTTATCCTGGTGGTGGACGGCGGCGTGGTTGCGTCAGCTGGACAGCTCTGAGGTCTCCTAGCCCGAAAATGACTTTTTGTTTCTTGTTTTAGCCGATGAGGAGTTCGACGAGTTGTGCTTTGAGTTCGGACTGGAGCTGGATGAAATAGTAAGTGAACCACTTTAGATTAAACGGAGCCCGTGAGGGTCTGGGTTTGTAACTAACGATGACATTAGGCCAAAAAAGCCCCAATGTTTTTTTTTTAATTTTTTTTTTTACATTTTCCCATAACGGAACTGTGACGGTATTCTTATTATTTCTTTCTTTCGTTCTTTTTTTAAGAGTTTAAACCCTACTTGATAACCATGGATAGGCAACGTGTCATAAAAATGTATTTTTAATTTTTAAAGTGCTTCATAGATCTTCTGCAAAACGTACACAAAACATATATATATATATGCCTTCTGTAAATGAACATAGATACATTTGAATGTCATAAAAAATGTAAACCATATTGACAAACCATTCCAAGGATTTTCACTGCCACACAAATTTGGCTAGAAAAAGAAATGACCGCCAACTGTTAACAAGTGAAGGTTATTTACTTTTAGTTCTGATCCAAAAACACCAGGATCTCTGCCATGTCTCACCATTAAATCCTTCACTGATGCAGAATATTGCTGCGTATTTTCTCCATGTGAGAAGCTTGTTGTGTTTTTGTTGCTGCAAGTCATGAGACTGAATCCTGTCTTCTGATTGGCTGCTGAGGCCTGCATTCCACAGGACTTTTCTTTGCCTGGAATTTATTTTGGCAATATAGCGAGACCTGTGTATGTTTGATCTGTGAGCGTATGAACCATGACCTCAAGTCTTCTCCTTGCAGACTTCGGAGAAGGAACTCATCGGCCGAGAGCAGGGGGACGGCAAAGCGTCGGCCGCATCTGATGTCATTCTGTACAAGATCGATGTTCCCGCCAACCGCTATGACCTGCTGTGTCTGGAGGGGCTCGTCCGTGGCCTTCAGGTCTTCAAGAACCAGTGAGTCCAGTATGATCCCGTCCTCCTAACTATGCAAACCGATTGCTCCTCTGGCTCCGTTTGAAGGAAAATGGGGTTTCCCGTGGTGTTTTCATCGTCTTCCTTGAATATCGGTTGTTCTGAAGGGTGCTGACACACAGGTCACGTGTGTTTCAGGGTGGAGGCGCCTCGTTACAGACGTGTGAGCCCAGTCAGTGGGGAGCCTCAACGGCTTATCGTCACAAAGGAGGTGGGTGAACCCCTTTTTGCTTTTCCAAATGTTCATATTTCTTTAAAGCTACATTTGGCCACGGGACGAGGGGGGGTTTCTACAAATGTCTGTCGTTTGCAGACGGCCGCAGTGCGACCCCACGCCGTGGCAGCCGTGTTGAGGAACATCACTTTCACGCAGGAGCGCTACGACAGTTTTATCGAGCTGCAGGAGAAGCTCCATCAGAACATCTGCAGGTCGGGCCCAACGAAGGAAGCCAGCGCAGACACACCCGCACCACACATGAATAGGACTCCAAATGTTCACAGGGCTTAAACGTAATTGAGACGGCATCATTGGATCATAAATTCAAAGGGGGGAAATCACATCTTCATCTCAAATCTCAGCTCCGAGATTCACACTTCCAAGCTGCTTTCTGGCAAAGCCAGTAGCAGATTTAAATGTCTGGTTTTGCTCTTCGGTCCAGGTTGTGGAAACAGACCAGACAATAACACGTGTTTTCATTATTATTGTCTGTAAAACTGGAGGAAAAGCAGTCCACAGATAGATTCGGTAAGTTAGAAAGGGCCAATGAACGTACATAAAACAGCCTCTAACACAGTGGTTGTTAACCTTTTTTGAAGTACCAAAACCACCAGTTTCATATGCACATTCACTGAACCATTCTTTAGTGATAAAAAAAAATATTTTTGGGGGGATTTTTTTTTTCCAAATTCAAGACAGGTACATGTTTTTTTTACCGGTGCACAGAATGAGCCGTACATGAACACCACCTTGCTCAAAGAACAAAAAAAAACACAGTGCATGAACTCACAACAAATTACGTTATTACTTTATTCTGGCCTCCCAAAAATATTTTGGCCCAATAAAAGAATTTCAGCCCCCAAAAATAATTTTTTACTATTTTACTAATAATTAGTAAAATATTTAAAAAATATCATATGAAATATTCTTACTTGAATGACATAACAAAGATCATTTCATTGTTTGTCAGTGAAGAGCTTGAGGGGAAAGTGAAAGGGGACGCTGTCTGAGTCAGTTCTGATATTTATTTACCTGAACTGGGGATTTGGAAGAGGCGTTATGATAAAGTCCTGTTTCTGTGTGTGTAGAAACACTTTGAGGCAGTTTGCATCTAAGCAGATGCAGTCCAGCTGCATCGTTAAAACCTAAATCTCAAATCTGAGAGAACCAGCTGACTTCCATCTGTTGGCATAGTCTGTCGTCAATCCCCTCAAAACCACTCATTATTGTGACAAATCACAGCTTTCCAGGGATCCCATCGTGTACTGTGTGCATTTTGCAGAGCTTTGTTATTCGGTTATACCTTTCCTCGGTTAAGTTTCCCAGCTGTAACTCAAAAGAACTCCGCTGCCTCTCCATTCGATGGCTTCCTCTTTTCCACACTGATGTGATGTTATGTCTGGTTTCCCCTCGCGCAGGAAGAGGAGCCTGGTGGCCATCGGGACCCATGACCTGGACACCATCCGTGGGCCGTTCACATACACGGCCAAACCGCCCGGAGACATCAGCTTCAAGCCTCTCAACCAGACAAAAGAGTACACGGCCACCCAGCTCATGGCCCTCTACAAGGTGAGCGGCCGTAGGGCGGTGCTTTGGCTCAGACGGCCGCTGGCGTCTTTGCGAGCGGTGCTGACAGCGTTGTTGTCTCCCTACGTGCAGACAGATAGCCACCTGAGGCATTACCTGCCCATTATCGAAGACAAGCCGGTGTACCCGGTCATCTACGACAGCAACGGCCTGGTCTTGTCCATGCCTCCCATCATCAACGGTGCTGCTTCCATTTTCTGTTGCACAGTGGTTGGCTTCTATTGTGATATTGTCAGTCGAATATTTACTTTAATTCTCCCTGAGGTCAACATGACTCATAGAATATGGACTTGTGCTTGACTGTAATCTCTGTCCACTCACATGTTTGTGCTGACTGTCCACTTGGCTTGCAGGGGACCATTCAAAGATCTCCCTCCAGACCAAGAACGTCTTCATTGAGTGCACAGCCACAGACCTTACTAAGGTACAGCAGAATAGGGAGGGGTGTGAGTATGTGGCTTTATGTGTTATCAGTAATATCTGAACAAGACTTGTCCCTCCAGGCCAAGGTCGTGCTGGACATGATGGTCACCATGTTCAGCGAGTATTGTTCGCAGCCTTTCACGTAAGTCACACGTGTCTCGCACTGCTTTCAGCTGACTCGGCTTTTTAAGGTCAGACATTCAGACTCACCTTAGAAGGCTTCTTCCCCCGTATTAAATTCATCAGCTTGCTGTAGAGTTCGTCTCACTGAGCTGGTTCCTGGTAGAACTGGAATTTCTGTTCCGGAGTCTGTATCATATTCCATATGCGGAAGAAACCGTTTTTTTTTTTTTTCATCCGTTAAAGTAATGTGCCTGATTCTATTTAAGGCTCCTGTGTCTCTGTGCTGTGATTCAGGGTGGAGGAGGCTGAGGTGGTGTACCCAGACGGCAGGACCTGCACATACCCAGTACTGTATCAGCTCGTAGTCTTCCTGTTTTTTACACATCAGATCTTCTTTATGTGCCCTCATTTTCCATTTGTGTGTCCTGGTTTGTTCTTCAGGAGCTGGCTTACAGGAAGGAGACGCTGTCCAGCGAGTTCATCAATCGGAAAGTGGGCATTAAGTGAGTCTCCGTGCGCTGTTCCGTGTTAGCGGCTGCACGTGGATCAGCACTGTTCAATCCCCTTTTCCTTTGTTTGGCTGGTCAGGGAGTCCACTGAGCGCATTGCTCAGCTCCTCACCAGGATGTGCCTCCTGTCCCGAGCCACGGGGGCTGGCGACGAGATCGAGGTGGAGATCCCCCCAACCCGCTCGGACGTCATCCACGCCTGCGACATCATGGAGGACGCCGCCATCGCGTACGGGTTCAACAACATCCCCCGCACCACGCCGCGCACCTACACGGTCGCCAACCAGGTACCCGGCTCCGTTCCGTTGGAAAAGGGGGTTCCTTTGCGGCTGCTCGTAGTGTTTATAATTTAACGTGATTCATTTTCCTACGTTTTTTTCCCCCGTGTGTGTTCAGTTTCCGCTCAACAAACTGACGGAGCTGGTGCGGCAGGACCTGGCAGCGGCCGGATTCACGGAGGCCCTCAACTTTGCCCTGGTAAAAAAAAAAACACAGAAGATGCACTCACCGCTTCCTCTGCTGTTCTCGTAATGTGAGAGATCCTATTCCTGCTCTCTTCACAGTGTTCTCAAGAAGACATCAGCGACAAGCTTAGAAAAAACATCTCGGAGACCAGAGCGGCTCATATATCCAACCCCAAGACGGCAGAGTTCCAGGTCAGACCCAGTATGACAGAGATGCTGCTGTGTGTGTGTGTGTGTGTGAGAGAGAGACAAGAAAGACTTTACTCTTAGTGATTTTGGAAAATCGAAAACCAACCATACACGAAGTGGCTCCACACTCATAAGTTGGGTTTGCCGTTTTCCATTGGAGGTCGCTGTCTGCCTCCTAATCCAGCTGCTGAATCCAGCTGCTGACTCCCTGTTTCCGACGTTACCGTTTCCTCCACCAGGTGGCGCGCACCACCCTGCTGCCCGGCCTGCTGAAAACCGTGGCTGCCAACAGAAAGATGCCCCTTCCGCTCAAACTGTTTGAGATATCCGACGTGGTGCTGAAGGACGAGACCAAAGGTTAGCATGAGGGGAAAACACCGGGACCAAAGTAGTGTGATGTACTGGGAGCCAGTGGCCTCACTGGGATTTGTGGGCAGATATAGAACAGAAGTTTACACGTGTATGGATCCTCATGTGGGCTGATCCGCTCCCTTGAACCTCATTTACACTCTGAGGGATTGACAATAGAGATGTCCCGATCCAGCTTTTTGCACTCCGATACTGATACTGCCCAATCAGAACATTTATGAAAGTTTAAAGTTCTTTAGCGTACTTAATTGGTTGTCAGACACATGTTGAACAGGGATTTACTCTGATAACAACTTAATGGTTAGGACACAGACCTGTGGGTTAGGAGATGCTAATGCTCGTGTTGGATCGGATTTAAAAAATGACATAATTCATAGATAAAAGCTGAAAAAAAGTGTCACTTTGAGGGCACACTGCGGACAGCTGTAGCCCGATCAGGTGCCAACGCGCCTGCTGTTAACGCCGCTTTGCCCTCTCTGCCCTCAGATGTCGGGGCCAGGAACGTCCGGCGCCTGTGCGCCCTTTATTACAACAAGAGTCCGGGCTTCGAGGTGATCCACGGCCTGCTGGACCGCAGCATGCAGCTTCTGGAGGTGAAGCCGGCCCGTGAGGAGGGGTACCACATCCAGGCTGCAGATGGTGAGAGGCCGGGCAGGGTAGGGGGGTGGGGGGGGAGGCTGGGGGCTGGGAACCAACCGCCGGGAGCAAATCCCAACAACAGCCTGGGATGTACAATCTGCCGAACAATAATCTGGTTCATCAGAGGTAAAAAGGCAGGTTCTGCGGAGATTATCTAAATCCAGTCCCGCCACTGGTTAATAGAGCATCGGGTGCTCGGCTGAGGGGGGGCGCAGTTTCCGTGGCAGCGACATGTGCTGTGTAGCTTTAGCTCATAGCTGGGCTGCACCGAGAGGAAATTTAAGCTTAGTCCTACAAACGAGCGCACAAGTGGATATTCAGGAGAAAAACAGGATGGAGTGTTGAAGCTGATTGGTCGGCTGATGGAAAATATGAGTGGTTACGTGTTGCCTGAGAGCGGTCACTCCGGTCTCTTTGGAACTCCGCCCGCTTTGCCGTTCAGCCACGAATTTAAAGGGTGGAATAGTGAGATGTAAGGGAGAAGGAAAGGAATCAGAAACGGTGGGACTGTACAGGGAAACCGGCGCGTTCTTCTCATTGTTTTTGTTTGAAACCGAAGCAGCCTTCTTCACGTCTGGCGCATGGATTGTGGACAGAACACGCTTCTGTTGAGAGAAGAAGCCGGCCCCATCGGCCTCTCTTGTTCCACCGGCAAATCCCGGGACTCCGGTTCTGTCGAGGGAGAGATGAGGGCAGAGAAAAAGGTGTTAGAGCATCGGGTGCTCGGCAGGACGATGGGGGGGCTTAGGGAGGCCCTTAGGCAGGCACATCCACCCCTGAGATGGACAACACAGTGGTCCCACACACTATCCTCTGCTCAGATCTGAGCCCTGCTCACATGTAAGCTGCCCCCCGCCCCCCCCCCCCCCCCATCAGGAGCTTATGCTCTGGTCTGAGAGCCGCCTCACGTCACGCTTGGGGGGGGTGCATGTCAGCCCCTCGGTGGGGAAGAGGGAGGAACACGATGAGTCAGCAGATCGGAGGCAGAGGAAAACCACTTAGGAGCCGGACGGCCACGTTCCACCTAACAACTGTGTCCAATGCATGCCCTGCTCCCAAAGAGAGAACGGCTGCTCGGTTTCCTGTGGGGGGGGGCGGACGTTTGCTCCTTTTGACTAAGCATCCAAGGTGTTGACCAGCAAAAGCCACCCGTTTTTCCCAGAGTCCTCAGTTCATCGTCTTAAGGCGTGCTTGTTTATGTTTATGCATTTAGCAGACGCTTTTATCCAAAGAGACTTACAAAGTAGACACAATTTTACAGTTATCATCAATATGACAATACGTTCTCTAGAGGAAAATCCCTTGTCAGAATCAGTGGTGACAGCAAAGAGATAGAGGGAGGTGCAGAAAGAGGAGTAGAGGGTGTACAGAGGTATGGGTAAGAGTCAGGATAGGAGATGCTCTTTAAAGAGGTGGGTCTTTAAGAGTTTCCTGAAGATATATAGAGATGCTGATGTTCGTGTAGGGCTTGGTAGGTCCTTCCACCATCTTGGAACAACACCTGAAAACAGTCTGAATCCTCTTTAGCGTGCTGTAGGCACTGCTGGACCACAATCCACTGATGACCGGAGGGACCGAGTTGGGACATAAGCCTTTTAGCAAGAGGGTTCCAGTAGACGGGAGCCGTACCCTTAAGCACTTTGTAGTCCAGGCATCAGGGACTTGGATTTGATGCGGTGGGCCAGGGGGTAACCAGAGAAGCTCAGTGAACAGAGGGGGGGGTGCGTGGAGTCGCTTCCCTCCCGCTGGGGGCTGCATGGCAGGAGGCGGCTGCGTTCTCAGGGCCGGATCTGGCTGTCTTCATTAGCTCTGTTGGTAGTTGGAGGAGTGGGTGGAAGCGGAAGCTTTCCTCGACCGTCCGTGTTTTCTCTGTGGTTGCCATGGTGAAGCGGGAGAGGTGTGAAATTCCCCTCAGATGGACATCGGGACAGGCCCGGCTGCCGGGGCGTCCTTCCACAGTGACCAGTGGCCGTGGGCTCTGGTTCCCATTAACGAGGCAGCGTGGGAAGAATTATGGGAGGAAGCCATGTCTATTTGTGGCAAAGGGGGGGCTTTGTTGCCATAGGAACTCCTGTGTCCTATCTCTTGGCGAGTCCGTCATCCCGTCCTTCCCCATGGGTTTAAAGCAGCACTAAAAGCTACTTCTGAATCCAAGCTAGCACACTTGGAGGAGACAGATGGAGGCGGCGGTCAGATCAGTGGGCAGGCGGTGTGGACTTTGGACTTTGGGACAGCCTGTAAGAGGAGACCCGATGATGCTAATCGCATGTTACTGCTCTTTCCTCTCCAGATTCCACTTTCTTCCCCGGGCGCTGTGCGGAGATCTTCGTGCGCGGGCGAAGCGTGGGCCGTCTCGGAGTCCTCCACCCAGACGTGGTCAGCCGCTTCGAGCTGACCATGCCCTGCTCGGCCCTGGAGATGGACATCGAGCCCTTCCTGTGATTTCACCTCCTTAAAGCTTCGCCGAAAAGTTAGACCGCAGCCTCCCCCCCCCCCCAGCGAACCTAACACCAGCGTTAGACGCACGGCGGGGGGGGCGGCGCCGTGACGGGACAGACGTGTCCAGTCCCGTCACGTGCAGCTGTTTTATATGATGCTCAAAGAATTAAAAATGTGCAAGCGTTCTGCATGTGAGTGCGTGTGTGTGTGTGTTAGGATTGTCAAAAGTATCGATACTCAAAAAAGTATCAATATTAAAACGTTTTATTCGGATACGATACTCATTTTCTAAAGTATCGATACCACCCCCCCACGCCCCTTTTTTTCTGATTTATTTATTGATTTATTTACGTTGTTTATTAGCTTTAATGTGACGTTAGCCTTGAGTTGCTAGCTGTGGCTAATGGCTAATAAGAACACGCCAACATTAATGCGATAACGATAACATCAGTAACAGGACAGTTTGAAACCAAAGACACTAACCTGTCGAAATTCAGTAAAATTTTGGGTTAGGGTCCTTGTGGTATCGAGTATCGAATCATTTTAGCAATTTTAATTTTAGGATCGTGACAACCCTGGTGTGTGTTCGTTAGCTCAGGCCTCGGCCGGCCCGCTGAGCACGCGCTGACCGAGCCCTGTTGCTGGTTCTTCCAGTGGCCGCCCGGCTGAAAGCCTCCTCACGCACGACGTCCCCACGCGGCCGAGCGTCCGGCCGCCCCCCCACCCACCGTCCACCAACACCGTCTTTGGCGACCTGAGCACGCGGGCGGGCCTGGAGGCGCTGGACGGCTTCCTGGCCGACAGAAGCTACGTGGAGGGCTTCTCCGCCTCCCAGGCCGACGCCTCGGTGTTCGCCGCCCTCCCGCCCCCCCCCCCTCAGAGCCTCTGCCACCTCCGGCGCTGGTACAACCACATCGGCTCTTTCCGGGCGGAGAGGGCCTCCCTGCCGCCGGCCAAGGGCCGCTTCGTGCTCCCCCCCGCCGGGCCGGACGCACCCACGGACGACGAGGTGGACCCGTGCGGTTCGGACCAGATCTGAGTCCCGGGATGGACCGAGTGGGGGACGGAGATGTCAGAAGGAGCTTTTTTCCACCACCCTTTGTACTCAGGTGCTTTCTTCTTTTTTTCTCGTACACAGCCACCAAAATAAAGCCGGTCTGATCTGACCATGGGCACTGTGCAGTTTTCTGTGTGCTGCATGTGTTAGAACAGCAGAAAGCTGGAGGCTGTTGCTGCCTCTCTGGACTCCCATATCCAGTGAGGGGGGGGGGGGGGGCCTGCTCCGGCCTGTTGAGTGACCAGTAAGGAGGACTCGGAAATGGGTCTCTCGGAGCTCGGTTCAGGCTGGTTTGGGTCTGTCCCCGGTTTCGTTTGAGCTCGTCCACTTTCTGTTCTAGAGGGAAAACAGACTCCAAAAAAAAAAAACGATCACACTGACAAGTGAAGGAGAAAAACTTTTATTGCCGTGTCAGCAAAGCACTGAGCGGTCAGTCCCAGACACACTTGTGAATTTGAGCTTTCTTCATTTAAGTTCCTTACATTGTCAAATGGTTCATTAAATGCAAAATGAAATAAATAATGTATTTCCACCGGTTTCCAGTAAAAAAAAAAAAGTCAAAGTAGCCCCAGTAAAACAAAGACTCTGTTGACCAGTACGGAGTTAACGAGTACTGGCCAGTAAGGAGGACTCGGAAATGGGTCTCTCGGAGCTCGGTTCAGGCTGGTTTGGGTCTGTCCCCTGTTTCGTTTGAGCTCGTCCACTTTCTGTTCTAGAGGGAAAACAGACTCCAAAAAAAAAACGATCACACTGACAAGTGAAGGAGAAAAACGTTTATTGCCGTGTCAGCAAAGCACTGAGCGGTCAGTCCCAGACACACTTGTGAATTTGAGCTTTCTTCCTTTAAGTTCCTTACGTTGTCAAATGGTTCATTAAATGCAAAATGAAATAAATTATGTATTTCCACCGGCTTTCAGTAAAAAAAAAAAAAAAAAAACAAAGTAGCCCCAGTAAGACAAAGACTCTGTTGACCAGTACGGAGTTAACGAGTCCCACGGCCGTGTATGTCCCAAACTTAGAGGGCACTTCTATCTCTCTCCTCCTCCTGGCGTCCTCATCCTGTTCCTTCACTCCGTACCACGAATACAACAAGCGCAGAGTCAGTTTTTTAACCACCTGCCGCGTTCCCACCAGCGCCGCCGCCCCCACCAGGAAGCGTCCGGCCCCGAGCGCGGCCGAGCGCGCGGTCAGCGCCGGGAGGGGCGCGGGCAGCGGGCCGGGCGGCTCGAAGGTCCGGCCCAGCCGCTGGTTGAGCCAGTAGCCCACCGAGCAGCCGGCGCACACGCCCAGGATGGTGGCCGTGTCCCCCCGGGCGGTGCTGTAGCGGTCAAGCTCCGGGTAGGCGTAGCCCAGGACGAGGAGCAGAGCGGGCAGCAGCACGGGGGACAGGCGGCTGGTCAGCTGGAAGCGGTCGAAGGCCTCCCAGTACGGGCGGGTGCACAGGAGGATGGCGGCGGAGAGGAGGACGCCGCTGACCACGTCCTGGAAGCAGAGCGTGGTTGTTCAGAGAACCCCCCCAATACACACACACACACACACACACACCGCACCTCTCAGAGCAAAAAAACACTTTTCAGTTGGTCCCGATGAGCCAGGAAAGAACCAAGTAGGCCTTTGGTGTGGGTTACAGGTCAGCCTGACAGAAATGTGTGTGTGTGTGGGGGGGGTTGGGGGAAGGGAATGGAGGCAACAGCGTCCAAAGACCAGTTGGATGCCACTGTGGTCAGTTAACTCGGATAAACGGCTAAACACCCGACTCAACAAAGCTACTGCCCAGAATGTTGGTTACTTCGGATATAATAGAAATAAAAACATTTTCAGGCGTGTGGTTACTCAGGTAAATTCCTGATAACATGACTGTCGAATTTCCAAATTCAATAAAGGTTTAACCCTTTAAAGCCTGATCCAAGAATAAAACAAAACAGAAAATTACTTTTTTTTTTTGTTTTAAGTCTATATTTTGCCTTTTAACTAAATATGTAAAAAAAAAAAAAAAAACATTTTTGATATTAATAATTTATTATTATGCGATATGTCAAGATTATTTTTGTGTAGTCTTCTGCCCCCTGTTATCAGGTATATCTGACTGTGTACAATGGGATTTTGAGCAAAATTTTTACCATTTAATTACGTAAAAGGTGTCAGACGCAAAACATTTCAGAAACGGTACGTATCAAATATGATACATTTGGCATTATAGGGTTAACAGCTCTCGGACAGATGCACAAATTAAATCCCGCTCCGGGCTGGAGCGGTGAATGTTGTGTGTGTGTGTGTGTGTGTGTGTGTGTGTGTGTTTTTTTTCTCACCAGAACGGAGTGCATGCCGGTGTAGAGGCGGCTCAGACACACCAGGGACGACAGCGTCACGGCCAGCAGCAGACCCGCCTCGAACTGGAACTGAGGCCCAGAAGCACACTCATCACACAGGTCCTCACACCAGGCGGTCAGTGTGTGTGCGTGTGTGTGTGTGTGTTTCCTCCCTGACAGCTCTCTGCACTTCCTGCCTGTGTGTCATCCCCTCTCCGGCTCCTTTTATTACTGTACCGTCTCTCCCTCTCCATCCAGCCCTCCCCTCTTTACGTATGGCGGTAAGTTTTATTCCCCCCCCCCACCACCCCCGCCTAGTCTGAATTACAATAACAGAGAAGAGAGGCCTCATGTATTCATTCACCTCCAGCTCCCTCCCCTCCTGTGCTCTCCTCTCCTCCTCCTTTCCTCTTCCCTCTGTCTTTTCCTGTCCGTGCAGCTGGGGGCCTATTCACTGGTAGTTCATGAAGAGAAGTTGTTCTATGAATGGCCACAAAGGATGGCCGGGGACAGGAGGGGCGAGGGGGTATGGGGGGGGGGGTCGGTCTGTGATTGACTGTCGCGACCTTTGACCTGCCTCTGGAGCGGCCAGTTGTGCCCCGAGGACTCGGGGGCTATTCAGGAGCCCTATCACAGGCCCCGCTACTCATCCCCTGGCTCGGCGTACTCTTTTCTCTGATCCCTCCAGGAATTTCGGGGGCACGGTTAAGTGCGCTACAGTAGCCGGGGCGTCCTCCCTGAGCGTCCAGCCCCGTTTTTTTTTTTCTTTTTTCTGATCCTTGGGAACAGACGGCTAGTCAAAAAAAAATGAGCCGACCGCAAATCACTCGGACAGGTCCCGAGAACAGGGATTCTGCATTTCTAACTACCAGATAGCGCCTCATCACAGCCAATGATCGAGGCTTTGAGTGTTTTATTGACTTGGCAACAGAGGGGAAAGTGATAAAAAAAAGACGAAGAATGAGATGGAGTGCCCTGACAGTCATTGACTCGGTTCCGTCTGTCGGGGGGGGGACGTGGCGGCGGCTCCGTGGGTGTGGCTCGCGGTGACTGATGGCGACCGCTAGCGAGCGCGTCTCAAAGCCCATTGTCCGGCAAGCCCCGTCAGGACGGTGATGGACAGCGGAGCCACTCCCTTTCACTCCAAAAGCTGCCGTCCAAAGGCTCCTACTACCTCGCAGTAAACCTCATTCTACAGTGTTTTACAGCAAATGCTCATTTAAACGCTCACAAAAACATTAAATCGTGGAATAGATGGAGGTAATAGCCACTAAGCAAGATAATTCGGTTGTGAATCGTAGGACAATACCTACTGAGCTATCATGGAATCTGAGGAACATCGGCTGGAATAAGGGATGCTGTCCCAGGGACGATTGAACGGCCACAGAAAAATTCCACAAAAGCATCCCATCCTCTCCGAAATAATCAAAAGCTACCTTCATCTTACTGTGACTTCAAATTAGGTCAATCGGAGCTCAACCGACCAACCACAGAAGACATCTCACACCACATTTTTTGGAACAGAAAAGCAGAAGCAGCGAGTTAAAAACTCATTCTTTTTCCAGAGAACGGGCTTTCCTCCTGCAGTCCAATCCAAGCCATACATGTCGAGTCCTTCTTACTGAGCATTGGTCAATAGCTTCTGGACGCAGACTAGCTTAGAGCAGTTATGTCGCCTCCATTGAGTCCATCAGTGGTACAATGCACTAAAAGATATTATTATTACCCTCTAACTGGCTCCAGTTTGGCTGTATTTTTTATGGGCCTCGAGCTGCCAATTGCTGGGATTTATCTTTGTGTAAATAAAACTGAATTGAGTCTTTCTGGACTCCAGCCCGTCCAGAAAGATGCCTGCCCGGGTTCTGATCCTGATGGAGGTTTCTGCCTGTTTTTTTCTCTTTGAATTGATATTTTATGAACAAACTGAGTTAAGTTAAACTGCCCATGTTTGATTTCGCTGTGTATAAGATGTGTATGTTTATATATTAATGTATATACGTGTATCTGTGTGTGTGTGTGTGTGTGTGTGTGTGTAGACCTCCTGACCGTGAGAAATAATCACCTGGAATCTGGAGGTAGCACTGATCAACAGGGTGAAGGAGATGGAGGTGGCGGCCATGGCGTGGGTGGAGGGCAGCCCGTACTCGGCGTCCACGCGGGTCTCCAGCTTGACCACCGGCGGGGAGGGGGGGCGGGGCAGCTTCAGCACGTCCTTCATCACCTGGCCCACGTACATCACCACCTACGGGAGACAGACGCCCGGTGGTGACTTCAGTCCCGACAAA